GCGGGAACCTCCGCCAGAGCCCGGCGTAACGGTCCGAGCCGCCGCTAGGCCCAGGGCAGCGGTGCCGCTCGCCTCAGTGCGGGGGGCGCGCAGGGCTCTGCCCGCCGAAAGGGGGCCGGGGGCAGGCGGCGGCGACGACCCCTTCCCTCCGTAGCTTACCTTCCCCGCAAGCGGCGGCGGCGGCGGCTCCTCCTCCCTCCAGCGGGGCGAGGGAAGATGCCGCCGCACTCAGGCGCCTCCTCAACGGGGGAGGGAGGAGGGAGGGAAGGGGGTTAGCGCCTCCCAGGGATCCACCTACCGCAGCGGGAGCGGGGAGAGCGGCGGCCTCGGTCCTCCCAGCGCCGCCGGGGTAGGGCTGGGGAGAAGGCCCGGGGGTGGGCCCTGGCTGCGGGGCGGCTGGCTTTGTAGCAGGGAGTGCGCATCTCCCGCGGGGCGGAGGCCAAGGGAGGCAGGGAGAAGCAAGCCCCACTGAGGCGAAAGGAAGCCAAGAGAAGCCCTTCAGTATCTTCCCCACCAAGGCCCATCCTTTTTGGTGACATGACCACCTCGGGAGGACTTCAATGCTCAGAGCATCGAGGGAGGTGGCACCGCTTTCCACCAGGCCTCAAGCTGCTGCCTGGGCCTAAGTACATGAGATGACAACACATAGTGGGATGGGAGACACACCGTCTCTGTTAAGCAAGTGTCTGTTAAGCAAGTGTCAAATATTGCTATACTGTTCCAACATGCTGCCATTTATTTTTCCCTGAGGGAAGTGAGAGGATATAAGTATTTTTCTGTTTCATGGAATGGTTTGGGTTGGGAGGGACCTTAAAGATCATTGAGTTCCAACCTCCCTGCCACGGGCAGGGCACCTCCCACTAGACCAAGTTGTTCAAAGGCCCATCCAGCCTGGCCTTGGACACTTCCAATGATGGAGCATCCACAGCTTCTCTGGGCAACCTGTTCCAGTGTCTCACCACCCTCACTGTAAAGAATTTCTTTCTAGTATCTAGAATTTCTCCTCAGATTTATGTGTAAAATTAAGCATTCCCAAAGAAGGGCAACAAAGATGGTGAGGGGGCTGGAGCACAAGTCTTATGAGGAGAGGCTGAGGGAGCGGAGGTTATTCAGCCTGGAGAAGAGGAGGCTGAGGGGAGACCTTATTGCTCTCTACAACTACCTGAAAGGAGGTTGTAGAGAGGTGGGGGTTGCCTCTTCTCTCAAGTCACAGGCGACAGGACGAGAGGAAATGGCCTCAAGTTACGCCAGGGGAGGTTCAGGCTGGATATTAGGAAAATTTTTTTCACCGAAAGGGTTATCAGACATTGGAATGGGCTGCCCAGGAAGGTGGTTGAGGCACCATCCCTGGAGGTGTTCAAAAGACAGGTTGATGTAGTGCTGGGAGGTATGGTTTAGTGATGGTGATGCTTTTTGTTTGTTGTGCGGGTGTCTATTTTTGTCAGTTAGGTTGATGGTTGGACAAGATGATCTTTAAGGTCCCTTCTAGAAGATTCTGTGATTCTGTATACTTGAAAACTTTTCCAAAAGGTAACAACCTGGCAGTTTTGTTTAGTTATGTCTCTTGCCTTCAGTGTGATAATACCCTACTGTCTTGCAGTGGTACATGTTCACAGACCTTTCCTGTGGTATCCAATGATACTGTTAGGTTATTGCCATGGAAACCTTTTTCAAAAGGCGAAAGTTTGCTCTGGGACTAAGGAACTAACTTTCTATTGAAAATTAAATTCCTTTATCTCCTAGGGGAGGTCTCAATTTTTCTTGTGGCAATGACAGCCTTTAAGTGTTTTGATACTTCAAAGATTGATGTCCTTGGATACAAGGCTGGATGTCTGAAATTGTGTTGTAGGTAGCTAAAGTAGCAAGAACTTGTGCTCATAGGTACCAAAGGAGTAGTGACAACATTCTCCATACTTGCTGCATTGCATGACAGCCTCATGTGATACCCTACGCGTGCCTTGCATCCTGTTCTTTACAGATATAATGCATGAAGAGCCCTTATCCTAATGTGCTCCCCTAAAAAAGTGCATGCTCTATGCCACTGTCTGTAGTGTTCTGTGGAGTCACTATCTCCTTTTAGGTTCTTAACCATTTTTCGTATTTCAGAATGCATTCAACTTCCTCTGCATGCATCCTGAATCATAGAATTATCTAGGTTGGAAGGGACCTTTAAGATCATCTGGTCCAACCATCAACTTAACTCTAATAAAAACCCATCACTAAACCATGTCACTGAACTCTATGTCAACCCATCTTTAGAATACCTCCAGGGATGGTGCCTCTACCACTTCCCTGGGCAGCCCGTTCCAATGCTTAATGACCCTTTAACTGTAAAAATTTTTCCTAATATCCATCCTAAACTTCTCCTGGCACAACTTGAGGCCATTTCCTCTTGTCCTATCACCTGTGACTTGGGAGAAGAGACCGACCTCCGTCTCTCTACAACCTCCTTTCAGGGAGCTGTAGTGAGCGGTAACATCTCCCTTCAGCCTCCTTTTCTCCAGGCTGAACAACCCCAGCTCCCTCAGCTGCTCCTCATAAGACTTATTCTGCAGACCCCTCAACAGCTTCGTTGCCCTGCTTCGGTCAAGCACACAGTGGTAACAAGACCCAGTGGAAGTTGAAGCTACTAATTTTCAGACTGTCATTAAAGCAAAGAGTAATTGTCCCCTAAGACAAGTTTCATGTTGGGCTGTGAGCTGTTTATCGATTCTTCAGTGCACATTTTATAATAGTATTTGGGTATTTTTTTAAAAGTCATGCTCTAGTTAACTGAAGGAAGTGCTGTGTGCTGTGTTAGGCTGGAGGTCACACTTAGAATCAGTGGAACAGATGGTGTATTTGACCCACTGAAACAAAGTGCAGTTTAATACAGTGAAGTCCTTAAATCCAGAAGAAGCGGATGTAGATCTACAAGCAGAGAAACTGCATTCTGGAACATTTACCTAACGGCTTAAGGTCAGTGAACAACAACTGAAAGTGTAATGCCAGAGGATGTAGAAGTGAAAAAGACTAACATCATTCCTGAATGTATAAACAGAGGAAACAGTAGTTAAAAGGTAATCTACCTCCAGTAATTACTATTTAAAGTCAACTAATGGGACACTGCATGTGATGCTGTTAAACATTTTGACAGAGAAGTCAAAAATGGGATAGGCTGCATGAAGCTGATCAATGGTTTGAAAATAAGAGATACTTAAAGAAATTATTTGTTTAGTTTATTAAAAACGGTTTAAAGGTGATAACAGTTTATAGATTCCTTGCTATGAGAAAATATTAGGTACAGAGTGGCATTTTAATTTAATGGAAAAAAGCTGTAGCAAGAAGCAATGGAGAGAAATTAAGGTCAGAGGAATCCAAATCAGAAATAGAGCACAAATTTCTGACAGTAAAAGTGGAAAGTGGTTTCCATTTTTTATGCCTCCCAAGTAAAAACCTGATCCAGTTATTTCTGCCTTTCCTTACATGCCAGTTGTTCTACACATCTCATTTTCTTCCTTTCATTTGAGCTGTCTCCAGTTTGTTTTCCTTCTTCCCTAAGTGTAATGCTAGATTTAGAACTCAACAGCACTGAGAGGAAGGGAATAGGTGCCTCTTTCAACTTACACTCTTGTGATTGTAAGGATCCTGATCCGGGACTGGATTTTCCATCTTTTTCCGGTAGCAATGTATTGTTGGCCTCTGCAGTTTAAGCTTTGAATCTCTTCCTTAATTTACTTTTCGTTTGAATTTTTGCATTTCCCCTCGGTCTTCAGAATAATATTTGATTGAAGTTGACCTAATTTTCTTTTCTGATTAACTGATGTTTATTTCACTTTAATTTGGCGGGATTATTTTGTGTGCTGTAAAAATATAATTAGACATTAAATGAGAATGTAGCAGGAATCATAAACAGTTGTAAATCAGTGAACTGACTTAACAGTCCAAGCACCAAAGTACTGCAGGTGGGATTTCAGTTGCTTGTCTTCAGCATGGAGTTGTTTATTTTTTCAATATTTAAGCACCAGTTCAGCACAGAATCACAGAATCCCAGAATGATACGGGGTTGGAAGGGACCTCTGGAGATCATCTAGTCCAACCCCCCTGCCAAAGCAGGTCCACCTAGAGTGGGTTGCACAGGAACTTGTCCAGGCCGGTTTTGAATGTCTCTGGAGATGGAGATTCCACCACCTCTCTGGGCAGCCCACTTGTGTTTCAGGATGCAAGTTCTCCAGGCAGGATCCACTTGCCTTCACAGAATGTGCATTCTACAAACCCTCCAGGAGTCACTGGGCAGATTTGTAAGCCCCCCCAACCTGTAGTAAATGAGTGCAGTGGTCTGGAGCCTCCCATATGGCCTTTTTGGAGATCAGACTCTTCTGTGACTACAAGCAGCGTAGGGTGTTCTCTATGTGTTCTTCTCCAGGACTACAAAGAAGAGGAAGGGCTTAGCCCATGTAGTTCATGCAGGGATAGATTTTGCATCCGAACCCTTGGTTTATAATACTCAGTCTGCTACACCTTGGTATAATCGTGATACCACAAGAAGGGTGGAGGGATCGCTACTAAGAACCAGAGGAAGCCAAAGAGAGGAAACAGAGAGCACAGCAGGTTTTCTTTTAGAGAGCCAGTTGGTAAAAGAAGAGATATTTGTCGGTAGAATTATTATCTGCAACATCTAAATGGTAGCTCTGCATTTTTTGAAGCATCATCTCTTCTCACACGCAAACTATCCTGCCACTGTAGCATCCAGAGCCATCCCCTGCCTCTGTCATCTGAACTCATGGTAATCTGATGCTCAAAATCAGCTACAGGATTGGCTGGAGTACATCAAATCATACCGTCTTGAATACTGCCCCTGCCGTCCATCCAGCTGAACTCACTGTTAATTATTAACAGATCTCCCTGAAGTGTTTGAACCATTCGAAAGGGTTCCTGGACTTCCTAGATGACAAGAAAGCTTTGGAAAATCCTGGGCTGCATCAAAAGATGCGTTGCCAGCAGGTCCAGAGAGGTAATTCTTCCACTTTGCTCTGGTGAGACCTCACCTGGAGTATTGTGTGCAGGTCTGGAGCCCTCAATATAAGAAGGACATGGACCTGATGGAGAGGGTCCAGAGGAGGGCCACAAGGATGATCAGGGGGTTGGAGCACCTCTGCTACGAGGACAGGCTGAGGGAGCTGGGGTTGCTCAGCCTGAAGAAGAGGAGGCTCCGG